GCTCAAATGACTTCAATTGAAGCGTGGTAGAAATTCCGGTAAAATAAAAAAAACTTTTAATTGGCCATGTTAGATATGAAGCAGAAGTAGGTATATATTTTTAGGGCGGGAAGATTAATTTTGGACTTTTCAAAAAAAAAAAAAAAAAAAAAAAAAAAACATTATTTAACCGTCGAGGTTTTTTTAGCGAATGTTTTTCTCCAGAAGTGGCATTTTGAACACATATTTTTGGAAGGCATGGATTTTGTAAAGAATATTTTTATGGACGTGCATTTTTGAGAATATTTTTTTCAAGGACGTGGATTGTTGAGAATGTTTTTTGTTCGAGGACGTGGATTGTTGAGAACTCTTTTTCAAGGACGTTGTTTTTTGAGAATATTTTTTTAAGGAATAGGATTTCTGGGAACATTTTTTTTAAGGAATGGGATTTCTGAGAACATTTTTTTCAAGGACTTGGTTTTTGGACAATATTATTTTTAAGGACGTGGACTTCTGTAATATTTTTTTTCAAGGACGTGGATTTTTAAGGATATTTTTTCAAGGACGTGGTTTTTTGAGATCACTTTTTCAAGGACGTGGATTTTTGAGGATATTTTTTCAAGGACGTGGTTTTTTGAGATCACTTATTCAAGAGCGTGGATTTTTGAGAATATTTTTTCAAGGACGTGGATTTTTGAGATCACTTTTTCAAGGGCGTGGATTTTTAAGAATATTTTTTCAAGGACCTGGTTTCTCTCTGGAAAACAGTTTGTACCCGAACAATTTACGGAACACAGTGCCAGGGAGGGACTAAAAAAAGTCAACAAGTTAAAAAGCAGTAAGTTCGGCCGGGCCGAATATCCTCCACTATTTGGAACGAATTTGGAAATTTCCAAAAAAATAAAATCCGTTAAAATCTCTGCTAAAATCGCAAAAAAATACCGAATATGGCCGTTATATTTCGGTCTATACACCGTGGACCTATATAGGTTCTGTTTGTCATAAGCCGTTACCATATTCAAATTCCAAACTTCAAATAAACGGTGAATAATGTAGGTAAAATCATCAAAATACCTTACAAGGTAGGTACCGTTATATAGCAGCTATACGAAGACCCTCCACACTATGGCGGAGGGTATAAAAAAACATTATTTCCCAATCGAGTTTTTTGGCGAATATTTTTCCGAAAGTGGAACTTAATCTTTAAGTCATTGCTATTTCGCTTTCCCTCTCACATAAATTCTTAAAAAACATCTTTACGAACCACTGGACCCCGACGAGCTATTCCAGGTCGAATTGTTTCAAATTTGGTATTTGAAGTTCGTAATGGATACTTCAGCCTATGATAGAAAATTGTTTGTGCAGGTCCACGTCTTTAAATAGCTCCCATATAGCGGTACCTTCCTATTTTCGGTATTTGGATAATTTTAGCGACATTATTCACCGGAATTATTTCAAATTTGGTATTTGAACTTCGTAATGGATACTACAGCCTATGACAGAAAATTGTCTGTGCAGGTCCAAGTCTTCGTATAGACCCCTTACTACGGTATCTCCCGATATTCGGTACTTTGGTGATTTAAGCGACATTTTTTACCGGAATTGTTTCAAATTTGGTATTTGAAGTTCGTAACGGATACTACAGCCTATGATAGAAATTTGTCTGTGCAGGTCCTAGTCTTCGTATAGCCTCCATATAATTGTACCTCCCGATATTTGGTATTTTGATGATTTTCTCTACATTATTATCCTTTTGTTTCAGCCTTTGGCCTTCTTGCCTATTGACATTTGAAATTAAGTGGCGCCCAACGTATCAGTTATATCGTTTATATTTAGAATTTAATTGGATGATGTTATTCCTATTTTCCTTCTTCGGGTCTTGAGAACGTCTGGCCATCTGAAAAAATTGTCTGGGTGTTTGATATTCTTAGCATCTTCTAATGTTCTTGAAAGCCTATTCCAGGTCGAGAGGAGAAATCTGGTAGTTACAACTGCAACATATTTAAAAAATATAAGCCCATTAAAAGTTTTGAGAAACACTACTCCAATAGAGGTATGTATTCTGGTCGACAACCAAATGTTAGTCATATGAGGGTTTTTGGTTCAAAAGCTGTGGTGCTAAACAAAAAGGCAACTGGAAAGTTTGAAGTCACTAAAGTTTGTAGTCATAGATTCGGCATATACTACAATGAAACATTCTCGGTAGCGACGTAAAGATTATATAATTCTGGTGAGAGGAGAAAATTTTTAAAATCTACTCCATGTACATAACCTCCTTGGCAAGAATTTCTCCTTGGATATACTACAGGATCTCTTGCCATTTAAGTCTTAAAAAATTAGACATGTCGATTGGATTGATTTTGATGAAAAATATCCAATATCTTAATAAATAAACACTTTGACCTATGGTGCGTATGATTGTTATTAATACAACGTACTCCTATGAAAATTATTATATCTCAGGTAGTTTTGCAGATATTTTAAGAATTATTTCGGATATGAGAAGCCAGGAATATGCTTTCTTTATTAAAAATATGAAGATAATTCTTAAAATAATGTGAGGTAAATATTTTGCGAAGAGAAGAAATTTAGTAAAATTTAATTTTAAATTTTATTACATGGACAAAAAACATGGACAAAACCTCCTTCGCAAGGATATCTCCTTGTATATACTACAGGATCTCTTGCCATTTAAGTCTTAAAAAATTAGGCATGTTGATTGCATTGATTTTGCTGAAATATATCCAATATTTTAATAAATAAACACTTTGACCTATGGTGCGTATGATTGTTATTAATAAAAAGTACTTCTATTAAATCGGACATATCTCAGTCAGTTTTGCTGTTATATGAAAAATTCTTTTGAATATTAGAAGCTAACAATATACTCTTTCTATATAAAATATTGTAAGAAATCTTAAAATAACACACTATATGTTTTTGTGGCGAGTATAACAAAATATTGAAAATTTCATTCGGTTGAAAGTCTTTTTCCAAGAAAGACTTCTCACCTAAAATGTTCTGAAAGAATATTTGCTATCTCGGAGCCCTAACATAAGCAATGTTAATTCTATTATTTTACAGATCAATATCGAAACATCAAAAATATGTCAAACTAATAAATTTAAAAAATGACGAAAGGAAATGTGAAGAGGAAAAAAATGCATGTTGTGGTGGAGTGTTTGAAATATATTTTGTATCTAAATACTTAGCTTTAAATCTTCTTCTTTGGAAAATTTGTGAATTTTTAATTTGAAGAACCGAATAAAATTTCATTCGGTCTAGTAGTCTTGTCCTGAATGTCAATTTGTAAAACTTATTTTGGTCCTGAATAAATTTGATATGAAATTGAATACCTCTGTGAAATTCGCTTATTTTTCCTTTTGTTAAGAAAAATTTGCTAATTCATGTTGGCCGATGACGCATCGCTCATTTTTTAAAAATATTCCATGACTAAGTCAAAATCCAATTCAATTTTATTTTAAGTTTTCAAATCACTGCTTTATTAGTTATGCTTTGAGTTTCATCAGCCCCATAATAAACCTCTGCAAAATGGCTGTCTATCAAAAGATTTATTCAATTTCTGTCATTTAATTGTCAAATTCTAATGACGATTTCAGACACATTTGACTGACAGCGAATGGGATTTATGTCAATGGCAAGCCGTGTGTGCTTTTTTTTGTTGTCTTTCCAGCTTGTGATGGGTATGCATAATAAGGGGATATTCAAAATAATTTTGAAAAAATAAAAAATTAAAAAAAAAATCTATAAAATATTCTTAGAAGTCATTTAATTTTTTTTTAAACATGATTTGTTTGTCATGCAACTGCATTGAATTCCAAAACCAGTTGGACATTAATTGCCACAAACACTTTGAGTGTAAAAAACAAAACGTTATAATTTTGAATGAATATCAATTCCCATGAATTTTGGATGAACAAAAAAAAAAAAAAAAAAAAAAAAAATTAAATAAAATAAAATAAAAAATAAATAAATACAAATAAAAAAATTAGAAATAAAGTAAAATTGAATAAAAAATAAATATATAATAATAATAAATAAATAAAAAATATTCCCCAAAAAAAAAAAAATAAATAAAAATTAAAAAATATCACCATTTGATTTTTAAAAAAAAAAAAAAAAAAAAAATAAAATAAAATAAAAAATAAATAAATAAAAATAAATGAATGAATATCAATTCCCCTGAATTTTTGAAGAAGGAAAAAAATAAAATAAAAAATAAATGAATAAAAAATTAAAAATAAAGTAAAGTTGAATACAAAATAAATATATAATAATAATAAATAAAAAATATTCCCAAATCCAAAAAAAAAAAAAAAAAAATAAAAATTAAAAAATGCCACCATTTGATTTTTCAAAAAAAAAAAAAAAAAATGAAATAAAATAAAAACAAATAAATAAAAATAAATGAATGAATATCAATTCTCCTGAATTTTCGAAGAAAGAAAAAAATAAAATAAAAAATAAATAATTAAAAATTAAAATAAAGTAAAGTTGAATAAAAAATAAATATATAATAATAAATAAATAAAAAATACTCCCAAATCAAAAACAAAAAAAAAATAATAATAAATAAAAAAATAAATAAACAAAAATTTAAAATGTCACCATATGATTTTTCAAAAAAAAAAAAAAAATAAAAATAAATAAAAAATAAAATAAATAAAAATACAAAAAAATAAAAATAAAGTAAAATTAAATAAAAAATAAATTATTAAAAATAATAAAAAAAATATTCCCAAAACAAAAAAAATAATAAAAAATAAATAAATAAATACACAAAAATTAAAAATGTCATCATATGATTTTTCAAAAAAAAAAAAAAAATAAATAAATAAATAAATAAATTAAATAAAATATAAATAAATAAATAAATAAATAAAAAATAAAGTAAAATTAAATAAAAAATAAATATAAAATAATAAATAAATAAAAAATATTCCTAAATTCAAAAAAAAAAAAAAAAAAAAAAAAAAATTAAAAAAAAATCAACATTTGATTTTTGCGGTGTATTAGCAATCCGAATTCAAAATTTTATTTATGTTTTTTTTTTCAAATAAATACAATACAAAACACCTAGACAACAAATTGAGGAGAATAGAAATGTTGAGCACTGATAAGTAAATGTTGGTACGATCAAGGAAAAAAATCCATCAAAATCCAAAGATTCGCTGCCACCCCTAACCACCGGGTACTTTGGGCAATAGGGCCAATAGGCCCGGCTTAACATTGGTCACATCTTGAACCACAATTTCACCGGAGATGTGATCGTTCAATATCATGGTCTTTTGTTTGCTGGCATCCACATGGAAGGCTTGGAAATTTAGATTAAAATCGATTTCGGGCAATGTGGCCAATGATGTATCCTCCGGTATCCAGAATCGGTGCGTATAGTATTGACCCTGTAATTTACGATAAAGGGGTAATCTCATTTTAATTTTTGCCTAGAAAAATTCATTAAAGAAAGTGCACAAAAAAACATTTTCAGAAATTCACATTTCATCACCCCGCCAATACCTACCTTGGGCACGGGACATTTCTCCATAATGTTGCCATACTCTTTCAAAAAGGTGGCAATAATCGAACCAATTGGTGATTTGGTGTGCCAATTTAAAATTCGACACAGATTCATTGTGGTGTTCAGGGCCAAATTATAGCTGGGATCCAGTTTTTGGGTAGCCATTAGCTGGAGACTGAAATCAATGTCGTGTAGTTCTTGCAACACATCCAGGGTGTAGTTGATGTGTGGATCGTTGGCATCGAATTTAATGGTGTGCGAAATATGCTTGTCATCCGACCACAATTTCACATCCTTGAATTTGGGACGCATTACTTTCTGCAAAAGAAAAAAAAATCAGAATTTTTGAAAATCTTGGTCTCCATTCTTGAGGTTTTTGATATTTTTAAAATTTAGCCATTTAGAAAAAAAAAAACTAAAAACTTAAGAATATTTTTTTTAAATAGAATTTTAATTTTAACTTTAAATTTAACGATTATGAATTTAAAAAAAAAATAATAAGAAGCCATGAATATTCTTCATTTATGAAAAATATGAAGATAATTCTTAAAACAAAAAATCTGGTGAGAGAAAACATTTTCCTATTTTGTTACATGGACATAACCTTCTTGACAAGGATTTCTTCCTAGATAGGCTTGAGATCTCTTGCCAGTAAAGCCTTCGAAAATAAGGCATGTTGATTGCACTGATTTTACCGAAAAACATCCAGTATTTCAATAAATAACCACTTTGACCTATTGGGCGTATGATTGTTATTAATAGAAAGTACCTTTATAAAATTACCCATATCTCTGTCAGTTTTAATGTTATATATCAAATTTTTTTCGAATTTGAGTAGCTTACAAAATGCTCTTTCTATAAAAAATATTACGACAAATCTTAAAATAACAGATTATATGATTTTTTGGCGATAACAAAAAAATTATAGAAAATTTCGTTTAAAAAAAGGAAACCCCCTTGCCAGCAAGGACTTCTCCCTAAATATCCTGAAAGAACTCTTGCTATTTATGTACCCTAACACAAACAATCAAAATTCCATTTGTTCTACTGGGAAATATCCAGTATTTCATTCAATAAACTCGTTGACCCATGGTGCCTATGATTCTTATTAATAAAAAGCGATCCCATGAAAATGATTATATCTCAGGCAGTTTTGCAGATATTTTAAGAATTAAGTAGAATATGAAAAGCCAGGAATATGCTTTTTTTATAAAAAATATGAAGATAAGATAATTTACTGTAAAAATTTTTGGTGAGAGAAAAAACTTATAAAAAATTAATTTTTAATTTTATTACTTGAACATAACTAACTTGGCACGGATCTCTCTCTAGATAAGCTACAGGATATCTTGCTATTAAAGCCTCTGAAAATTAGGTATGGTAATTCTCTTTATTATACTGAAAAATATCCAGTATTTCAATAAATAAACAGTTTGACCCATGGTGCGTATGATTATTATTAATAGAAAGTACATTTACAAAATTGTGCATATCTCGGTCAGTTTTGAGGTTATATTAAAAATTCTTTCAAACATGAAAAGCTAATAATAAGCTCTTTCTATGAAAAATATTGTAACAAAACTTAAAATAACAGATTATACGGTTTTTTGGCGAGAACAAACAATTATAGAAAATTTCGTTTGAAAAAAAAGAAAACCCTATTGTCAGCAAGGACTTCTCCCTAAACATCCTGAAAGAACTCTTGCTATTTATGTACCCTAACACAAGCAATCACAATTCCATTTGTTCTATTGGGAAATATCCAGTATTTCATTGAATAAACATTTTGACCAGGGTGCGTATGATTGTTATTAATAAAAGGTACTCCCATGAAAATTATTATATCTCGGGCAGTTTTGCAGATATTTTTAGAATTTTTTTCGGATATGAAAAACTAAGAATATGCTTTTTTATGAAAAATATGTTGATAATTCTTAAAATAATGTTTGGGTTAGAGAAAAAATCTTATTAAAATTTAATTTTAAATTTTATTTCATGAACATATCTTCTTTGTCAAAGACTCCTCCCTAGATATGCTACACAATATTTTGCATTCTGAGAGCTATCAAATTAGGCATGTTAATTGCATTGAGTTAACTGAACAATATCCAGTATTTCAATAAATAAACACTTTGACCCATGGTGCGTATGATTGTTATTAATAGAAGGTACCTTTACAAAATTACGTATATCTCAGTCAGTTTTAATGTTATGCAAAACATTTTTTCGGATGTAAGAAGCTAACAATATTCTGTTTCTTCGAGATAATTCTTTGTTTTTGCGGAAAAACTTTAAACAACAGATTAAGTGTTGTTTTTTTTTTTGGCGAAAACAAAAAAAATAATTGAATGAAAATTTCGTTCGTTTGAAAATCTATTTCCAGCAGGGATTTCACCCTAAATATCTTAAAGGAACTCTTGCTATTTACGTACCCTAACATAAGAATTCATAATTTCGTTGATTATCCTAAGAAATATCCAGTATTTTATTAAATAAACACTTTGGCCCATGTTGCGTATGATTATTATTAATATAAAGTACTCCCATAAAAATTATGATATCTCTGGAAATTTTAAAGATATTTTAGAGTTTCTTTCGGCTATGAAGAGCTAAGAATATGCTCTTTCAAAAGAAAATATGCAGAAAAATCTTTAAAACAACAAATCACTTGAATTTCCTTGTTGAATAAAAAAAATAAAATATCATTTAAGTGAATTTAGAATATTTTCTGCACATTTAGGTTTTTTTATTTTAAAAATCCAAATCACCTTTAAGGAATATTATTTTAGAAAAAGATCACGTTTGGGATTGTTTTATCGAGTAATATTATCCTAAGAAATATCCAGTATTTCGTTAAATAAACACTTTGGCCCATGCTGCGTATGATTATTATTAATATAAAGTACTCCCATTAAAATTATGATATCTCTGGAAATTTTAAAGATATTTTAGAAAATCTTTCTGCTATGAAGAGCTAAGAATGTGTTCTTGCAATAGAAAATAAGCAGAAAAATCTTAAATATAACGCATCACTTGAATTTCCTTGTTAAGTGAATTTAAAATATTTTTTTCCGCACATTTAAGTTTGTTTATTTTAAAAATCCAATTCACCTTTAAGGAATATTATTTTGGAAAAAGATCACGTTTGGGATTGTTTTATCGAGTAATATTTTTAAAGATTTAATATTTAATAAAATTATTTTTAAAAAGTCCATATATAAATACATTTTTAAGGTATTGAATATTAAGGATCCACATTTGAAAATATTGTTTTAAAAAAAATTAAATTTATGGCTAATATTTTTTTTAATCCATGTTATTAGTTGTTGGGTGTATGCTAAATAAACACACTGTAAGAAATCACTTTTAGAAATTGTTTTTCAAAATTGGAAAAATATTTTTAAAGTGCTCGTTTAAAAAAAATATATTTTTTAAAACCCATATTTAAAAAATGAATTAAAAGAAATTGCATTTTAAAATTTTATAAAAAAACACGTTTAATTTTTTAAGCCGTAACTGAATGTGATTAAAATAACAGCCACTTACCTCAGCTTGTACAGAAACTATGGCCAAACAAGCCAACACTACTCCAACTAACCAGGAATATGATGCCATAATTGTTTTGTTTTTTAAAGGAACCCGGGGAAACTATTTACTTTCAAACAGCTAAGTTTGACCAATGAATTCGTTTTGACTGCTTTTCCCCAAAATACTAGGAGTTTTTATAGACCATGATTTCACTTGTGGAAACTAATAGGTCATCTAATGGTCATCTTATCGAAAAAGTACATCTCTGGTGGCTATGGTCTAATGCCTATAGATATTTTATTTTTAAATAACTTTGGATCATTTTTTTTTTGTTTTCCATGGAGCCTACATTAAATCGTAATTGTTTGGAACATTTTCCGCTTGAGTAGACATTTGGGGGGAGATTTTGAATAAGAGAGGGGAAATGGGTTTTAAATTATTGGTTGTCTCGTTGGAAAAGTTCTGCGTTGTTTGCGGAATGGGGTAATTAGGTTTTTGAAATTGGGGGACACAAAAATGTTTTCAAATAAATTATCAAAAAAAAAAAAAAAAATAAATAAATAAATAAAATAAATAAATAAATAAATAAATAAAATAAATATAATAATAATGAAAATAATAATCCACAATGATTGAATGGACTTCGACAACTATGCAAAAAAATATTTTTAGTTTTTTTAGCCATTTACTATTTTATATTTTTATACCCTACAACACTATGTGTTGGGGGTATTATAAGTTTGATTGGGCCAAAAATTATGTAACACCACGAAATATTGATTTCCCACATGGGAAAGTATATATGGATCTTCCTAGCTCGCCGAGCTGAGTCGATCTAGCTATGTATGTCCGTCCGTCTGTCCGTCTGTCCATCACTCTACAGGTCGCAATTATGGTCCGATCCTAACGAAATTTTGCACGAAGGTGAGGTTAGGGTCAGAATAGAAGCCTATTTCTTTTGGAGATGATCGCCAAATGTTTAGGGTTTGAAATGTACCAAATACTGAAAAAATGTCGGATTTTACAGTAGCTATACAGGTCGCAATTATAGACCATGTACCTAGAGTTTAGGGCGGGGAAGAAGCCTACCAATTTGGGTGGTCATCGGATAATATTTAGCGGGTAAAATAGACCATATCTTTTGTGTTGAAAAAATTCAAAATTTTTCATTAAACCGTGAATATTTTAAATCCCGTCGAAATCACAAAGCCATTACAAGGTTATTTCTGACCTTAACATTGATGTTAACATCCAACAAATCGGATATGTAGGAAAATATGTGCGATATATATGTCTATCAAAGAAGATATGCTTGAAAGATCTCTTATATGTCGAGAACGGCTGAACTGATTTCGACAGTTCTCATTAATTCAGAATGGCCTCTTGGCAGGAAAGAAAAAACGTCTAAAAAAATCGCATAAAAATATCTCTCTAAAGATGAAAATATTGGTTTTGTAACATTTTCTCATATTTTTCCGATCCTTACGAAATTTTGCATGGGGATAAGATGAGGGTCAGAATAGAAGCCTACTCTTTTTGATGATGATCGTTATATATTTAGGGGTTGAAATGGACCAAAAAACTGCAAAATTGTCAGCACGTCGTAATTATTGCCCGATCCTCACGCACATTTGAATGGGGGTTACCGCACATTGCAAAAGCCAAGCAGTTTCGGATGGGCATCCAAAAATATTCAATGTGTGAAATAATTTTTCAACTTTTGTAGACTAAATACGAAAATGTCCATTTCTGCGACTTTTTGGACTATTTCGTTAACGAAGATTTCGTTGAAGAATATATTCAAATGTCTGTATCTCATATAGATGCGTTTCAGTCAAAAACCAATAATAAATGTTAATCTTTTGCCACTTCTGAGAGATTATAGGTCTTTGGGAAATATTTGTTCCAGATCTAGGAAGACCATTTACGTGCAACATCTACCAATAAATTGGAAATGAGCAAATTCGTTTAAGTTGCTATTATTCGAAAATTAGAAAACGAAACATGATGGTTTCCTTTTAGTATTTGTCACAATATCTTGTGGAATTCTTTCGAGTATCTCGCCTATATAAACAATATCGTTTATTGTAGTGTTGTAGGCTATTCAACGGTCGGCCCCGCTCGGCTGTAGCCTTTGCTTACTTGTTTAATTATAATTTAAAGACCTTGAATTATCGTGGCTTTCTATAAATTAATAAAAAGTGCCCTCTACTTCGTTAAAGATAGGCCACCTTAAAATTTTAAATTCTTTCCAACAGTTCATGTTAGGCCTTCTTAGTCTCAAAATGTATAATTTGTTTAGTGTGATATTTTTTTAAATCAATCTATCTCTTTACCAAATACCGCACTTAGTAACATTTAGTACTAGATATGTGTAAACAATGTACATTTATACAATGTACATTTCTACATTTAGTATTTTCGAACTATTATAGCTAACATTTGCAAAACCAATTCCATATCTAAATTTCAGATACCAATAGAGGCCTCGTATATTATTTTGGAATTTTTGCTGTATCCTTTCACTCTATAATGAATTTAGTACTTTTCGTACAAATATTGAATGCATTTCCTAACCACCGTCCAATCTCAAACAAAGATACCATTAGTGATCTTAATACTAAATTTCAAAATTGTATCTTTATCCCTTCACCCAATACCAAATTTAGTACCACTTGGTACTTTTGGAAAAATATAGTACATATATCGAAACCCACCTTTATAATTTAACCACAGACACAGACAGTGGCATTCATATCAAATTTTAGGATTTCAGCTCTATTCCCACGCCCAATATCAAATTTAGTACTATTTTGCACTCTTCGTACAATTTTAGAGCACATTTCAAAAACCCATTCTTTATCTCAATTTCAAATACCACAAGATAGCTCATTATCAAATTTGAGAATTCCCAATACCAAATTTGTACCATTTGGATATCTTATCCACAGACACCAACAGGATTTCAGCTCTATTCCTTCGTCCAATACCAAATAAGTACTATTTAGTACTTTTTGTACAATTAAAGTACGTTTTCAAAACAACGTTCATATCTCAATTCCAGATACCATAAGTGACACAAATATTAAATTTCAGCATTCCAGCCCTATCCCTTTACCCAATACCAAATTTAGTACCTTTGGTGTAATTTTAGTTCTCATTTGCAAAACCACTTCATATCTCATTCCAAGACACCAACAGTCTTAGAAATTTAATATTTGCACGGTTTCAGCTCTATACCTTCACCGAATCCCTAAGTTAGTACCATTTAGAACTTTTCGAACAATTATGGTACCAATTTCCAAAACCACCTTCACACCTCAATTCCATATTCCAACATAGACCTTAATATCAAATTTCGGGATTCCAGCTCTATCCCTTTACCCAATACCAAATTTAGTACCATTTAGTACTTTTTGTATAATTTTAGTTCTAATTTGCAAAACCGTTGCATATTTCATTCCTAGACACCAACCGTCATCGCAATTTAACATTTGCACGGTCTCAGCTCTGTCCCATTACCCAATGCCCAACATAGTACCACTTAGTACTTTACGAACAATTATGGTACACATTTCCAAAACCACTTTCTCACCTTAATTCCAGGTACCGACACAGACCTCAATATCTATTTTCGGGGTTCTAGCTCCAAACATGCACTCAATACCAAATTTGGTACCATTTAGTACTTTTCGTTCTAGTACAGAACACATATCCGACATCACCTTCAAAGGCCCCTGTAACTCATTAACGGCAACCCTAAAACGACATTTCAGATTTAAAGCATGATCTGTTCACCCAAAATGTACAAAATATTGTACTATTTAGCACTTTTCATGCACTTGTAGTGCACATTTCTAAGATGACCTCTTTTTTACGAACCTACCACCAACAGAGACCCCAAGTCCCACATTTTACATTTTCAGATCAATGCAATCAAATAAACACTAAAAAAAACACAATAGAAACCATATTTTCCAATTTCAGGATTCCAGCCCTATCAGTTCACCCAAATCCAAATTGTACCAAATTTGGCAGTATTTATTACACATAAGTTCGAATTTCCAAAGTTCCCTGCAGACCCCAATCCTACAATCCCACAGTAAACCCAATTTCTTATTTCAGAATTCCACCTCCATCAGTTAATCATAATTCGAACTTGTACCATATTTAGTACCATTTAGTTTTTTTAGCAAACATTTTCATAACAATCTGCATCATGCAGCCCAATAGAAATCTTATTTAAAAATTTCCGGATTCAAGCTCTACTGGTTCTCCCAAAATTTAAATTGTACCAACTTAAGTACAAATAAGTACGAATATAGAATACAACCTACATACTTTAGTCCTACAATGTAATATGAATTTTATCTCCACATTTCAGCATGACAGCTCCATAAGTTCACCCAAATTGAAATTTACCAAATTTAGTACTATTTAGTACTTTTCGTGCACAGAAGTACAAATTTCAAACACTATTTTCATATCCCAATCCTATTTTTCGCCAGTAATGTAAATTTCTAAATTTCAGTATACCAGCTCCATCAGATCCAATCAAATTCAAATTGTACCAAGTTTCGTACCATTTAGTACACATGAGTTTGAACCCTCAGTTAAACAATGCAATATTAATCTTATCTCCAAATTTTAGCATTCCACATCTATTGGTTCGCCAATTACGTAATTATATACAATTTAGTACCATTTGGTACTTTTCGGGAACATAAGTACGAATTTCTAAAACTACCGATATACCTTAGCCCTACAATGCAATATCAATCTTATCTCCAAATTTCAGCATTCCAGCTCTTTCGGGTCACTCACATCGAAATTGTACCAAATTATGTAACATTTAGTGCTTTTTGTGTACCTAAGTACAAATTTTAAAAAAACTAACTCCATATCCCAATCAACCTCTCCGCCAGCAAGGTTAATTAAAAATTTCCGGATTCCAGCTTTATTCGTTCCCCAAATGCAAATTGTACCAAATTTAGTACCATTTAGTACACAGAAGTACGAATTGAAATAACTATCTACATATCCTCAGTCCTAAAATGCAATAGCAAACGTATCTCCAAATTTTAGCATTCCAGCTCTTTCGGTTCACTCAAATGGAAATTGTATCTAATTTAGTACCAGTTGGTACCTTTCGTGTACAAAAGTACAAATTTAGAAAATTATCTTCAAATCCCAATCCTACTTTCTACCTTTAATGTTAATTCCAAATTTCAGGATTCTAGCTCCATCTGTTCCTCCAAATTTGAATTGTACCATATTAAGTACCATTTAGTACACATGAGTACGAATTCAAATAACTACCTACATACCCTCAGTGCTACAATGCAATAGTAATCTTATCTCCAAATTTTAGCATTCCACATCCATTAGATCACCCATTTCGGAATTATATAAAATTTAGTACCATTTGGTACTTTTCGTGAACATAAGTACGAATTTCCAAAACTACTGACATTCCTCAGTCCTAAAATGCAATAGTAATCTTGTCTCCAAAATTCAGCATTCCAGGTCTTTCGGGTCACTCACATTGAAATTGCACCAAATTAAGTACTATTTGGTACTTTTCGGTACATTAGTACACATTTCGGATTACCTCCACATCCCAATCCTACTTTTCGTCAGTAATGTTAATTTCAAATTTCAGCTTCATTCGTTTCTCAAAATTCGAATTGTACCAAATTTAGTACCATTTCGTACTTTTCGTAAACAAGAGAACACACTTCCAAAACTACCTCCTCACATCGATCACACTGCTCTATCTAGATTCCCGTTTCAAATTTCAAGTTTTTAGCTCTTACCGTTCACATGATACGAAATTTTACCCAATCTAGTACATTTTAGTACCTTCGCGTACTTTTTGGTACATCCATCCCACACTCCATCAGTGACCCTCATTCCAAATTTAAAATTTCTAACTCTACTGGTTCGTTCAGCACATAGGGTGCCATATTCAATACCTGTTCTAATACGAATTGGTGTTTTTGAAACATTAATTATTCAATTTAGAGAGTATCCACTGTATGTGTATTCAAATTTTCCCTAATGATTGAATTATAAAGAAATCAATATTACATTAGTTATTTTTTCTGTAATTTGATTTTTCAATATTTGTTAATTACTTTATTTCCCATTTTCCCCCCGATAGTCAGTGGATTTCTTAACAAGGGCCTTGCCATTCCGTTTCACTTTAGTTACTTTCGCAATAACCATCGACCAACGGCAAAACAGCCTTTGAGTTTTCCAAAAGCTACCATGAAGTGGGAAATTTTGAAATTTTTAATTACATTTGGTGTGGTTTTATTGTTTTGTAATCAAAACTGTTTGGCTTGGGTAAGTTTCTGGTGTGTTATCTTCGTTTTTTTTTTTTATTTTGTTCTTCTATTTTGTGGTCTTGTCTTTGCCAGAGCCTTGAGTTTCAAAGGCTGCAGCAGCTATACGGCATTTGAGTTAGTGTTTCTTATTTCTCCCATGGGATTTTCTTCATAATTCTTATACATCTTCTTCGGCAAACAATGACTTATATCTGCCTTGGCAGCAGGAACCAAAAAAAAAAAATGTTGTTTTATGATTTCTAAGATTGTGAAATGATTTTTTGTTAATTAAAAATTGAAGAATGGCAGAATTTGGGAGAGGGTGCAAATACGTGAAAGCCAATACTGAATAGAATAATATTAGTTTGCCATATTAACTTCAGAACCTGGAGGGAATTTACAAAATGAATCGGTAGCCAAATATAAAAGTTAAAAATATTTTTTCAAAGGCCTAACATAGACGTGGATTTTTTAAAAATATATTTTCAATGGCCTAATATAAACGTGGATTTTTTAAAAATATTTTTTCAATGGCCTAATATAAACGTGGATTTTTAAAAATATTTTTTCAATGGCCTAATATAAACGTGGATTTTTTAAAAATATTTTTTCAATGGCCTAATATAAACGTGGATTTTTAAAAATATTTTTTCAATGGCCTAATATAAACGTGGATTTTTTAAAAATATTTTTTCAATGGCCTAATATAAACGTGGATTTTTTTTGAAAATATTTTTTCAATGGCCTAATATAAACGTGGATTTTTTAAAAATATATTTTCAAGGGTCCAACATAAACGTGGATTTTTTAAAAATATTTTTTCAATGGCTTAATATAAACGTGGGTTTTTTAAAAATATTTTTTCAATGGCTTAATATAAACGTGGATTTTTTAAAAATATTTTTTCAAAGGCCCAACATAAACATGGATTATTTAAAAATATTTTTTCAAAGGCCCAACATAAACGTGGATTTTTTAAAAATGTTTTTTCAAAGGCCCAACATAAACGTGGATTTTTTAAAAATAAATTTTCAAAGGCCCAACATAAACGTGGATTTTTTAAAAATATTTTTTCAAAGACCCAACATAAACGTAGATTTTTTAAAAATAGTTTTTTCAAAGACCCAAAATAAACGTGGATTTTTTAAAAATATTTTTTCAAATGCGAACTTTTTAAAAATATTTTTTTCAAAGGCCCAAATTAAACGTGGATTTTTTAAAAATATTTTTTCAAATGCGAACTTTTTAAAAATATTTTTTTCAAAGGCCCAAATTAAACGTGGATTTTTTAAAAATATTTTTTCAAATACGAACTTTTTAAAAATATTTTTTTCAAAGGCCCAAATTAAACTTCGGATTTTTTAAAAATATTTTTTCAAATGCGAACTTTTTAAAAATATTTTTTCAAAGGCCCAAATTATACGTGGATTTTTTAAAAATATTTTTTCAAATGCGAACTTTTTAAAAATATTTTTTTCAAAGGCCCAAATTAAACGTGGATTTTTTAAAAATATATTTTTAAATACCCATATAAATGTGGTTTTTTTTAAATATTTTTTCAAAGCCCCAACATAAATGTGGATTTTTTAAAAAAAAATTTATTAGGCCCAGTGAACCTAGAATTTTACAAAAATACTTTTTCAAAGGCCCAAACGTAAATGTGATTTTTTTAAAACTGTTTTTCACAGGCACAACATTAACGTGAACTTTTTTAAAATTATTTTTTTCAAAGACTCAAAATTAATGTAGATTTTCTAAAAATATTTTTTCAAGGGTCCAATATAAACCTGGATTGTTTTAAAAATATATTTTCAAGGGTCCAATATAAACATGGAGTTTTAGAAAATGTTTTTATATAATATTAAGATATACTTAGACTTTGTTAAAAATATATTTTCAAAGGTCCAATATAAAAGTGAATTTTTTAAAAATATTTTTTAACGTTCCAAGATAAACGTGAATTTTTTTAAAATATTTTTTTTAAAGTTCCAAGATAAACGAGGATTTTTTAAAAATATTTTTTCCAAAGCTTTACATAAACGTGGATTTTTTAAAAATATTTTTTCCAAGGCTTAACATAAACGTGGATTTTTAAAAATATTTTTTTACTGGTCCAACAACATTATGAATTTTATTTTTTTCCAAAACCCCCTCATTAAAATGGACTTTTTAATTTTTTTTCAAAGCCCAACATAAACGTGGATTCTTTAAAAATATTTTTTTAAGACTCAACATGAATGCAGATTTTTTAAAAATATTTTTTCAAATGTCCAACATAAATGCGGATTTTTTAAAAATATTTTTTAAAGTTCCAAGATAAAGGTAGATTTTTTAAAAATAATTTTTCAAATTTTCAATATAGAGGAAGATTTTTTAAAAATAGTTTTTATTTGGTGTTTTTGTTTTCTAAATTTTTAAAATAAGTAATTTTCCTCTCTCTCACTCTCTCTTTCTCCACAGCGTTCGTACAAGGTAATTTTTACCTCATTCGAATACGAAGCCAATCCACAATTTCTCAAGGCCACCATTCAAATACAAAACGTCAGCGGCGAAACAACACTCCATGTGGTGTTGAATGTCCTGGAAGATATCGAGAATATTGGCCTTAGTTATGGTCTGGCAATTGAGGGCGATCAACCGAACAACTTTACCATGGTCGTAAAGCGAAAGCTAGACTTTTGTAAATTTCTTCAAGAACGGCCAGTGGGAATGGGATTTCGTCGTCACTATGAGGATATTTTAAAATCGGATTCGTTTATTAAAAGCTGTCCTCTAAAGAAAAATGCGGTTTTCACGGTACGCAATTACCAATTGGACGAGGAGTTGTTGCCACAATATGTGCCCGAAACTAATTTCTATCTGGATATGCAATTCGATCGAATGAATCCGAAGGGCGAGGCGGTGATGCTAATCAAAGGACGTCTCAATGGGACCATTGATAAGTCAAAGGGTTTTAATAATTTGAAAATGTTCAGCATGGGTTGAGGGGGGAAATGGATGTGGTTTGGGTGAGTGGGTGGCTGGGTGATATGTGGATATTTGTTGTGGTTTCAATTTGATTAAATTTTTTTGGCTTTAATGTTATTAAAAATAAATTAAAATATTATGTGGTTTTAATAAATGGAATTTTTACTACAAAGATTGTGGGAAAAGGATAAGGTTTTTTTCACATGATATCCTTGAATTTTTATATCAAAGGTTATGGAAAATGATAAGGATGTCTTGTTTTTTTTCACAGGATATTCTTAATGTTTTAATTGAGTTTTTTTTTTCACATGTTACCCTTGAAACGAAAGGCGTATACGTTGTGGCAGTCGTCATACGCAGGGATGTACCATAATATCAATATACCTTAAAACATCCAGGGGGGACATGAGAATCAATGACTTTATTTTCCCTCCGAAACCTCCTTCATTTTCTCATTTTCTCTTCCCAAAACCAGTTGACATTTCAGCTGAAATATTTTAGTAAAAAATTTTCAACCGCCTGCAACTTTTTAATCGAACTTATTTTTAACTAGATTTTTTATGCTAAATTCATTCCACCAATGATTTCATTACAATATTTGCAATGCATCGATTTTGTTTTTTTTTTCGGCTTTGTTTCCTGCTTCCGAAAGGCTATTTTAAATTCCATGGAACATTCAAGTTTCCACTACCAATTCGATTGAATTCAATCAAAAATTCATGGCAAAAGTTTGTCAGGCGGACAGGTGTTGCTCTGAATGCAGCAATGAACTGAACTGAGGTCAGGTGTTGCCATATTAACAGTTAAGTTTTGTACCAAATTAAAAAAATAAAAATATTTTTTGGAAAAATACATTGATAAAAAATTGAACCTTGAAAAAATATTTCTAATAAATCCACTTTAAGTTTGGGGCTTTGACAAAATATTTTTAAAAAAAAGTTGGTCTTTGAAAAAATATTTTTAAAAAATCCACGTTCAAGTTGTTCTTTGAAAAAATACTTTTAAAAAATCCAAGTTAATATTGGGCCTTTGAAAAAATATTTTTAAAAAATCCACCTTTATGTTATGGCTAAGAAAAAATATTTTTTTAAAATTGTCATTTGTGTTGGGTCTTTGAACAAATGTTTTCTTTAAATAATTCAGTTTGTATTGCGCCCTTGAAAAAATATTTTTAAAAAATCCATGTTTATGTTGGGCCTTTGAACAAATGTTTTCTCAAAAAAAATCAGTTTGTGTTGGCCCCTTGAAAAAATATTTTTAAAAAAATCCACGTTTATGTTGGGCCTTTGAAAAAATATTTTTAAAAAATTCAAGTTAATCTTGGCCCTATGAAAAAATAATTTTTAAAATTTTACGTTTATTTTGGGACTTTGAAAAAATATTTTTAAAAAATCCAAGTTAATCTTGGGACTTTGAAAAAATATTTTTAAAAATCCACGTTCAAGTTGGTCTTTAAAGAATATTTTTAAAAAATCCAAGTTAATCTTGGACCTTTGAAAAAATATTTTTAAAAAATCCACGTTTATATTGGGCCTTTGAAAAAATATTTTTAACAAATCCACGTGTATATTGGGCCTTTGAAAAAATATTTTTAAAAAATCCACGTTTATGTTGTTCTTTTGAAATAATATTTTTTAAAAAATCCACGTTGATGTTGGGCCTTTGAAAAAATATTTTAAAAACATCCCCGTTGATGTTGGGGCTTTGAAAAAATATTTCTAAAAGAATCCACATTAATCTTGGGACTTTGAAAAAATATTTGTAAAAAATCCACGTTTTTGTTGGGCCTTCGAAAAAATATTTCTAAAAAAATCACGTTTATATTGGGGCCTTTGAAAAAAATTTTTGAAAAACCCACGCTTATGTTGGGCATTTGAAAAAAATATTTTTAAAAAATCCAAGTTTATATTGGGCCTTGGAAAAAAATATTTTCAAAAAAATCTTCGTTTTTTATTGGGCCTTTGGAAAAATATTTTTAAGAAGTCCACGTTAATCTTGGGCCTTTAAAAAATATTTTTAAAAAATCCACGTTAATATTGGGCCTATGAATAGATATTTTTAAAAAAATCCACGTTAATCTTGGGCCTTTGAAAAAATAATTTAAAAAATCCATGTTTATTTTGGGACTTTGAAAAAATATTTTCAAAAAATTCACGTTTTTGTTGGGCATTTGAAAAAAATATTTTTAAAAAATCCACGTTTATCTTGGGACTTTGAAAAAATATTTTGAAAAAAAAAAACACGTTAACCCTGGGCCTTTGAAAAAACATTTTTAAAAAATCCACGTTAATCTTGGGCCTTTGAAAAAATATTTTTTAAAAAATCCGCGTTTATTTTGGGACTTTGAAAAAATATTTTTAAAAAATCCAAGTTAATCTTGGGCCTTTGAAAAAATAATTTAAAAAATCCATGTTTATTTTGGGACTTTGAAAAAATATTTTCAAAAAATTCACGTTTTTGTTGGGCATTTGAAAAAAATATTTTTAAAAAATCCACGTTTATGTTGGATCCTTGAAAATATATTTTTAAAAAATCCACGTTAATCTTGGGCCTTTGAAAAAAATATTTTTAAAGAATCCACGTTAATCTTGGGCCTTTGAAAAAATATTTTTAAAAACTCCACGTTTATTTTATTCCTTTGAAATAATATTTTTAAAAAATCCACATTCATGTTGGACCTTTGAAAAAATATTTCTTAAAAAATCCTCGTTTATGATGGGCCTTTGAGAAAGTATTTTTAAAAACCCCACGTTTATGTTGGGCCTTTGAAAAAATATTTTTAAAAAATTCACGTTCATGTTGGCCTTTGAAAAAATATTTTTAAAAAATCCACGATCAATTTGGTCTTTGAAAAAATATTTTTATAAAATCCACGTTAATGTTGGGCCTTTAAAAAAATATTTTTTAAAAATCCACGTTTATGTTGAATCTTTAAAAAAATATTTTCAAAAAATTCTCTTTTATGTTTGAGGTCTGAAAAATTAATTTTAAAAAATCCTTGTTAATCTTAGGCCTTTGAAAAAAATATTTTTAAATATTCGAGTTTAAGTTGGGCCTTTAAAAAAATATTTTTTTAAAAATCCACGTTTATGTTTGAGGTCCGAAAAAGTATTTTTAAAAAAAAAGTCACGTTTATGTTGGGCCATGAAAAATACTTTTTAACAAAATTCCACTTTAATGTTCGAGTGTGAGAAATATTTTTAGAAATCCACTTTTATATTTGAGACCTGAAAAAAATATTTTTAAAAAAATCCAAGTTTATGTTAAGCCTTTGAAAACATATATTTTAAAAGATCCGCCTTTACTTGTGTCTTGTGACAAAATATTTTTGAAAAATTGGCCATTTAAATTTGCATATCCGACCAATTTTTGGTCGCAAACTGACAATTATTGGTCTCACCAAGCCTCGGGATCTCAAAGAGTTCGTTTTTTTCCAATTTTGGTTTTTGTTTTACAACAATTGTCACTTTTATTGCCGCCACTGTTGTTGTTGTTGGACAGGAAAATTGGTATTAACATTTTTATATAACAAATTAAATTTCAACAAATGAATATACAATAGCAGCAACAACAAAATTTTAAATACCTATATAAAAATTTGTTACGAAAATTGCATAAATAAAGTTTGGGGTCCGTCTGTCAGGTGTGTGTGTATGTGTGCGTTTTTTAATTTTATTTATATTTATTGCTGCTGGTGCTGCTGTTGTTGTTTGTATTTCAATTTGCAAATGTTGTCAATTGAATATTGTTGCGTGGTTGATAAATGTTGTTTGCTGGGTGTCGATTCGTTGTTATTGTTGTTGTTGGTCCTGATGTTGGTACTATTGATGATGGTGTTGTTGCGATTGTCGTAAAACTATTGAAAATTAATCAAGGTAAAATCGCCGGGTGTGTAGAGGACAACAAAGAGGTTGAATGTTGTTGCGGAAGGGGTATCCCACAGGGGGGAGGGTATGAACATACATTTACATAGTGTAGGAGGCATTGAGTATAAGTTACCCTAAAAAGGGTTCGGCCATGGGAGCCCTCATAGTTGGATAGTCAACACCTCCTCCTTAAAGAGGTCTCCTTTTCATGAGAGAACTTCAATGAACGACCCGTGAGTGAGGTCTATTTCTATAGACACCTTTTCAATTAGCTCTTTCCTAACACCCATATGCATTCAGGTTACCAAAATGATCTCCAGCCAAATGCACCTGTGGGTGCTACCTTCCAAGTGCACACATAAAATTAATGTCATCAATATTTAATAGCGAGCGAGTGCTCACATTTATGGTTGTAATTGTTGTTGGAATGGGAGAAATTGTTGTTTTCCGAACAGGCTATTATTGACGCCATTAAGAGCTGTGTTCAGCAACATATTGTTGTTTTGTGACTCGAATTTGCAATTTTGTTTTCAATGGTATGATTGGAGTGGCTGGTGCAATTAATCTGTGTACTGGGTAAAAATATAAATGAATTGAGATTGAAAAAAAAAGTTTAAGTTGGGCCTATGAAAAAATAAAAATTTAAAAAACCACATTTATTTTGGGACTTTGAAAAAATATTTTTTAAAAATCCACCTTTATTTTGGGTCTTTGAAAAAAAAATTTAAAAAATCCACTTTTATTTTGGGCCTTTGAATTTTTTTTTTTGAACAATTCGCGTTTATTTTGGGTCTTTGAAAAAATATTTTTAAAAAATCCACGTCTATTTTGAATCTTTGAAAAAAAAAAATTAAGAAATCTACGTTTATGTTAGGCATTTGAAAAAAATATTTTAAAAAAATCTTCGTCTATTTTGGGTCTTTGAAAAAAAAAAAAAATGTTAAGAAATCCACGTTTATGTTAGGTCTTTGAAAAAATATTTTTAAAAAATCTACGTCTATTTTGGGCTTTTGAAAAAATATTTTTAAAAAATCTACGTCTATTTTGGGCTTTTGAAAAAATATTTTTAAAAAATCCACGTTGATGTTAAGTCTTTAAAAAAAACATTTTTAAAAAATTCACATTTAAATTTGGGTCTATGAAAAAGTATTT